GCCAGCCATTCTGGTGGAGATGGGACACCCCAGGTTCAATAAGGAAAATTCTAACTCAAAAATAAGGCAGAGTGTGAGTATGGGAAGAAACTTACACCAACTTCTGTCCTCCACACCCTTACACACTAACATGAGACATCATTAGCACCTGGGTACATACAAATACATTACACTCGGTAGACACACATACAGTTTAAAAGAAGAGGAAATCAAATCCGAGTATGAGGCCGGGGCTGCTCTGCTGAGAATGGAGGTTGTATGTAAATTTTGGAAAGATATGTTGTGTGAATAGGAGATATCCCATTCCACAGACTTATCAAGAAAGACAAACAAACAAGCAACAACAAAACACTACTCAGCTCCTAAAAGCAAATGAAAAACAAACTGAAAACGTGAGACTAAGGTGACCTGAAATCCTCTCTCCAGAAACCAGTGAATCCTCCTGATGCAGAAGGGACAGCAACATGGCCAGGACAACATCCCATGGGGCTCCCCCCATAGCTGAGCTTCCTGCTGAAAAGACATGGGTTGTTTTTTTTTGTTTTTTTGTTTTTTAATTATAAAAAAATTATCATATTAATTACAGTTTTTTCATTGTATCCCAGCTGTAGTCCCCTCCCTCCTCCCCTCCCAATCCTACCATTCCTCCCACTTCTCCTCCCATGCCCCTCTCCAAGTCCACTGATAGGGGAGGTCCTCCTCCCATTCCATCTGACCCTAACCTATTAGGTCTCATCAGGACTGGCTGCATTGTCTTCCTCTGTGGATTGGTAAGGCTGTTCCCCGCTTAGGGGGAAGTGATCAAAGAGCAGTCTACTGAGTTCATGTCAGAGACAGTCCCTGTTCCCCTGTTCATGCCAGAGACAGTCCCTGTTCCCTTGTTCATGTTAGAGACAGTCCCTGTTCCCTTGTTCATGTCAGAGACAGTCCCTGTTCTCCTTACTAGGAAACCCACTTGGACACATAGCTGCCATGGGCTACATCTGTGCAGGGGTTCTAGGTTATCTCATGCATGGTCCTTGATTGGAGTATCAGTCTCAGAAAAGACCCCTGGGCCCAGATTTCTTGGTTCTGTTGCTCTCCTTGTGGAGCTCCAGTCCCCTACAGGTCTTTCTATCTCCCCCTTCTTTCATAAGATTCCCTGCACTCTGCCCAAAGTTTGGCTATGAGCTGGAGCCTGGGTTTTAACAGACCACTTCACTGAGAATACAGGAAGAAACTGTGCCTGTCTGAGCAGCAAATATGCAGCTATTGTAGAATGAAAAACTGGACACTGATGGAATGTTTTCATCCAGGTGGACATTTGAGCATGCACCCTCAAACTCTCTGTGATAGCAACTTGCTAACACTGACTTCCCTAAGTTTGTCAGAGGCGAGGTTGAAAACGACTTGGGATAAGTCAAAAGTCTCTGGAACTTATTTAGAAAGGTCTCTAAAGGCCGGGAGGTGCCTCAAAGGATAAGTGCTCTTCCTGCATCAGGCTGGTGAATTTGGATCCCTGAAAGCTAGTGTAAAGCAGTGTATGAGGATGTGTGTCTGTGATTCCAGCATTCGTGTAGCAACAGGGGAGATGGAGACAGGACAATCTACTGGAAGCTCTAGGCCAGCTTGCCTAGAGTACGCAGGGCAGAAACAAACAAGACCCTGACTCAAACAAAGCAGAGCGCAAGGACTGATACCCAAGACTGCCCTCTGACCTCCACACGAGTCATGGCATGAGCATACCTTCACACATGAATATACTCATTGAACACGCATACATAAAAATAACTAAGTATCATACGCTGGGATTTCTGACCGCTGGGATTTCTGACCCAATGGGATATAAAATTCCAACTGGATTACAAGCAAACACGCCTGTGTGATTCAGGAAGCAGACAATATTCTAAACTGTAGACATTGCTCCATGTCAGCCTTGCAGGTTGTTTTGAATGAAATCTTTGGTAATTTTTAGTATTATTTGCATTCTAGCTTGGGGTATTTTTCATCACCTTTGGAAACTCAAAGTAGCAAAATGCTGAGCTGATGACTGTTTCTAGTGTAGGTCCCACCACCCGGAATGCACCCATCTCACCTGAATATTTCTATTTAATTAAGGGTCATGTATGGGATTCTTTTCTTTTTGTTTGTTTCTGTAAGGAAATCTGACGGAGGTGATGTCCTCTGGAGAGAAGCCAGGATTCTGCTTTTCAGGCAGTTGGACTCTAGTGAGACTGACAGTTGTGGTCTGGACCCAAATATTCAGAAACAGATTCCAGATTTGTCCAGAGATTAAGGAAGAGAAATAGGCTTTAACAGGACTAAAGAATACCACCGCACAGAGCACAGAGTCTATCACAAGCAGGAGACAGGCTGGGCCTGGGGGCACGAGCCTGTAATCTCAGCTACTCAGAAGGCTGAGGCAGGAAGTTCACACCTTCAAGACCTGCCTGGTCTCAGAGTGAATTCAAGGCCGGGCCGGGCAACTGAGAGTGCCTGAAAAGAGAGGGACAGGGGTTGGAGGGCTGGAGGGCTGGAGTGTGCTGGCAAAGGCCCTGGGCTTTGCTCCTCCCACCCTTTTCAGGCAGCACACAGCCACCTGCTCCAAGGGGACGCACACCTCTGGCTTACCGGGTGCCTGCACCCACAATCCCATACCCCCGCCCCACCCGACACAAATCCACACATAATTTAAAAGAATACAGGTAAATCCTTCACGAAGAAATAATAAATAAAAAGTAAAATAACAGGGCTTGGGGTATAGTTTAGTGGCATAGTGCTTGCCCAGTCTATGCGAGACTCTAGGTTCAGTCTTTAACACTTTTTAAAAAGAAAGAAAAAAATCCGATTAAAGTAGAACGATCGTTTTGACCTAAGGGGATTTTCTCTTGCTCTGCCACAGAGGAATTCTGCTTGAGGGCTCATGCAAGGCAGTAAGGGGTGCACCCGAGCCTCCTATCCTGCTGTATTTCAGGGTTCCCTTGCACACTCTGGTTCCCTGGACTCTGAGATGTTGGCATGAGCCTGCATCTCCCACTGCACATCTTAGGCATGGAACTGAGTTTCACAGCACTAGAACTGCCTTGCTCTGTGGGAGGGCAAGATGGCTCGGAGGGTAAGCTCTTGCTCTAAAAGCGCATCTGATTCTGACCCCCATAACCCACACAGCTGAGAGAGCCAACTCCCACAAGCTGCCTCTGGCCTCCATACATGTGCCATGGAATATATATGTAAGTGCATGAAAGTGTGTGTATAAACACACACACATGCACACAAGAAAATAAATAAACGTAATTAAAATTTAAAAATAAAATCAAAACACCTTGGTTTTATCAGGAAGAGCACTGGGTACCCCAGGGTAAGGTCAAAGGGAGAAAAATGGCTATGCTCTCAGCAAAAGCATCTTTCTCACCTCAAGAACCCCCACTGAGGGTGTGTCAGCACCATGACGGAGACTTCATGGTGCAGGTGTGTGTGCGCGCTTGTTTGTGTGCCTCTGTGTAAACCAGAAGTCAGCGTCCGGTGGTTTTGTCAGTCACCTCTCTCTCTCTCATATTTTTTGAGACTATCTCTCTCACTGAATTTAGAACTTACAGATTGGACTACGATGGCTGGCCAGTGAGCCTCAGGTCTCCATGGTGCTAGCACTGGGGATTAATGCATGTAGCCTCAGCCAGCCTTTTGTGGCTGGCGGAGATCGAATCCCGGTCCTGCTACCTGCACAGTGGGCCATTTGTCCACTGACCCATGCCCCGACCCATTTTCTTCACTTACAAAATTCCTCACTAAGAAATATTCTAATTCTTCCATAATACTGTACTTTGCCTAAAAAGCAGGGAACACTCCTTTGAAAACAGAATAAAAGAACAAACATTTGTTGATAAGTACCACATATCTGAAACAACAAGGAATAGGCAACAAGTCAGGGAAAGGTTATTAATTAATATCAGAAAAAGAAAAGACCCAGAAAACTTCCAAAATGAAAGAAACTGGAAAGAAAGCATCCATGTGAAAGCAGACAACAGTGTTCAGAGAACTGTTTTAAATTATAAAGTACTCTAAAGACTAAGTGCTTAAGGGTAGATGAAGAAGCCTTATAGTAATCACCGGCATCAGAATATAAGCCGCAACAGTCCCTTCGGTATGTTGTAAAGTATGCAATTTTAATTGTGCGATTTTCCTGGCTAATTTCTGCTTCAAAAACAATAAGTACTTCTGCTTACGAGGCGGCAAAGACAAGAAGTTTTCTCAACCTCTCATATGCACGTTGTCATCAAAATTTAAATTACCAGAAACATGCCTTTTAGTTAAATTACAATTAGGCCTGTGATGTAGCTCCTGAGAGCCCACTATGTGCCAAACACTGTTGGCAGATACTGAACAACAGTTGTATCTGTAAAGCACTTTTTCCTGCTCGGGTTCTCACAAGTGACATTTTCAAACAAACTGTATTTGTTTTCTCGGCTCTAACTGCATGCGCTGAATAATCTATTATTACAAATTGCTCCTACTCAGGAGACTCTTTTAAAAGACTTCAAGACACACTCTGTTGCATTTGCATATGGGATACATTTTACATCAGTTATGCACGGGAGTCAATCAACAACGGTAAATACAGACAGATTGTCTGACAAAATACAGCAACAATTTGGGGGGGACAGGGATGGAACACTTGTCAGAAATGTCCACAAATAATTAATTCCTTTCGCACATTAAAGATACTCTCTAAATATCACAGCCTCTTTTGAGGGACACTCATTACTTCCCGACCATCTGTCATGTCCTCCCCAAAAACCTAATTAGGGTTTCACCCAATCACACAGTAGAAACGATGCAAATAAGAATGGTTAAGGCAGTATAAAGAAGTTACCATCACAATGTTTTGTTTAAAAATTATGAAATTCAGATTAGTCTTTCAGGTCCTAATAAAGGATTTTTAAATATCTTTTTCCGATAAGTCATTAAATTATAAGCTTGGAAAATTGAAAATACACACACACACACACAAAGAAAACACTTACAGGTAGTAGAGTTTTCCTGCAGGAGTGAGTTCCCTTTTCCGATAATCTATCCCAGAATCCAGCTGGACCGTATTGCAGTACTCCTGTAATGGAGACACAGAAAACATCCTTCTAAACAAGGAATATATTTGACTTCAGGCCTACTCCATGAGATGGAGCCCATATCCAATACCGCCTAAGTGACCGAGTAACAGAGACTAAAGAGCCCAGAGTCCCAGGGTGAAACCAAATATCATTGGTCTTTAAAATAATAATAATCTCCTAATGACATTCTGCTATACTCATTTTGATCAGTGCCTTCTTCAGCCATCATCAGGGAAGCTTCTTCCTGCAGTAGATGGGAACAAATAGAGAGACCCACAGCCAGACATGAGAGAGAGAGAGAGACCTTGGAACACACAGCTCTAAATGGGATGTCTCCATCAAACCCCTCCCCTCAGAGCTCAGGGAACCCTGTGGAAGAGGAGGCAGGAAGTGTGTAAGATGCCAGAGAACTAGGGCCCCTACATCAGCTAAGCAAAGCGCACAGAGGCTGAGAGAGCAAGCCAGGGCTACCGCACAGGGCTGCCCCAGGCCCTCGGCATATATACTATGGCTTTCAGTTTAGTGTTTTTTATTTGATGGCTGAGTGTGTGAATGAGTGTGTCTCTGATTCTTGTGCCTTCTTTGGGGGTCTTTTCCTTCAGTTGGTTTGCCTTGTCCAACTTCAATGTGATAGCTTTTATTTTATTATACTTTACTTTGTTGAGTTTTGTTAAAAAACATAAAAATAAAATAAAATAAAATAATAAAATAAAATAAAATGCTTTGGGAAAACAGCTCTGACAACCAAAAAACAAACAAACAAACAAGCAAACCCAAGGAATGTGTGTGTAGTTTCCTGAGATGCTTCCATGAAGCAATATAATGAGCTGAGAAAACAATTTAGCTCACGTAAGATTCATAACACGGAAGTTATAATATGAAATATATTCAAAGACAATAAAATAATAATTTAAAAGTAAGTTTTGCACCATGTTTTTCTGAAACTTTGCTGCCGAACCTGTGCTGTCAGCAAACCTGTTCTGGCTGTACTGTTTGAACAGCAGTTTCCATTTCTCTGGAATAAGATGGCAGAGGCTCCAGAAAGACTTCAGCACGAGGGTGGAAGAAAGGCAATCTGAGAGCAGGGTCAGACGTCTGTGCCGGCCAAAAAATTACACTGATGACCACACCGAAGTGATACTCTCTGCAGAGCCACCGTCATTTCTAAATATTTGCCACCTCCCTTGTCCCTTAGACCTCCTTCTAGCCACTGTGTCTTCAGCATCCTTTCCTATACTAGGTGGCTCCTTTCAACCTGAATAATCTTTTTTCCATCCTCCTGGCTACACACACACACACACACACACACACACACTCCAAATATCTTATTGCAAAACTCATGAAATTTGCAACATCTGCTTAAATTAATTGGGGATGGAGGGAACACGAGTACATAAATACATACATACATACTTACATACATACATATGCACAAATATGTTTGTATAGTGACAGAGCAACCCAAGGTATTTCGCATATATAAAGAAACATTTAGAGGACATCCTTTTCGTTTGTATTAAAAATGAAAGCTGGGGGCTGGAGAGTGGCTCAGGGGTTAAGAGCACTAGCTACGATTCTGCAGGACCTGAGTTCAATTTCCAGCACCTGTAGGGCAGCTCACATCTGTCTATAACTCCAGTTCCAGGGTGTTGAACTGTGTGATGCCCTCACACAGACATACATGCAGACAAAACACCAACGAGCATAAAATAAAATTAAAATAAATAAATAATTTAGTTAAAAGTCAAAACTGCATTTTAAAGTTGATCAGTAAAAAAAATCTATCTGTATGAGTTTGTTATTTTTTATTAGTAAAAATTTCATGTTCCAACTTTCTGAGGCCAAGATAGTGAGAACAGACAATACTTCCAAGATAGCTCAAAAGTTTCTCTCTTAACATGTTCTTACAGTGTGGTACTGATTTGTCAGCCAATAAGAAGCAGGGCCTGTGACCTGTCCTTGGATTTTATTACTTGAGATGGGTAGAAATGCTGAGCATGGTGGTGTGTGCCCATCATCCCAGTGCTCAGAAGGCTAAGGCATGAAGATTGCCATGCATTTAACAACAAGCTGGCAGCCGGGCAGTGGTGGCACACACCTTTAGTCCCAGAACCCAGGGAGGCAGAGGCAAGTGGAGCTCTGAGTTCAAGGCCAGCCTGGCCTACAGAGTGAATTCCAGGACAGCCAAAGCTACCAGAGAAACCCTGTGTCAAAGAAAACCAACCAACCAAACAAACAAAAAACCAAAACAAAACTATCTGGCTCTAATGCCAAGCCAGGCAATGCTGCATACCCAAACCCCTGTTGCAAACAAACCCCAAATCATTGGGCCTGTTGACTTAGTGAGGTCCTATCTCAAAATACAAAGTACAAAGAAGACTAAGGGATAGCTCTGTGATAGAGTGCTTGCCTAGCCTGCAATGGGCTATACACAATCTCTAGTACCACAAAGGAAACAGACCAGCAGCAGCAGCAAACTGGAAATGATGACAGGTACCATCAGCCACATGACATCTGAGGCACCCTGGTGGTTGGGCTATTTCTTCCGGTACCTGAAGTGCCAGGTGGTTGTCTAACCGCCCACAGGCCGCTGTGCTGAGAAAAACTCAGCTCTCCACGCGAAGACCTTGACGATGCTCTGCAATAGCGTGAGGACAACATGTTGACCGGTTCCCAGCTGTCCCAGCCCCACCCCTCGCCGGGGTGCTGAGGAAGCTGGCCGGCCAGCTGAGCCCACAGGAACTAGAGGCTGTGAGAAGTGACTGTTCTTAGTGGTTAGCTTCTTCAGGTCTGTAGATTTTAGGATGGCTCTCCTATATTACACAGCTGACATCCGTTATGCGTGAGTGTATACCATGCACGCCTGTCTTTCTATTTCTGGGTTACCTTGCTCAGGATGAGCTTTTCTAGTTCCATCCATTTGCCTGCAAATTTCATGATTTCCTAGAGGGAAGGCACAGGGGTGGGTGGTGTTAGGATTAGACAGCCGCCATTGTAAATTTGTTCCACATATAATAAGCTCCAAGCAGCTGAAGGAACCTTGGTGGCACACACCCAAAAAGGACCCCTGTAACTAACAAATCCACGGCTTGGCTTCTTAAGTGTCTTCCTGGGCATCCTGGGTTCATCATTTCAAATCCTCTCCAGGCCTCATTTCAGGACTGTCGCCCATCACACCAGAGAGCAGGTGTAGCATTGCTCAAACACACCATCTCACTTTCTCCTTACTTCATACGACCTGCTAAAAATAAGCCAAACAGTGGCGCTTGCCTTTAATCTCAGCACTTTTTGCTTCTGGGACAACTCACTCAGGATGATCCTTTCCAGGTCCCACCATTTACCTGCAAATTTCATGATTTCCTTATTTTTCATTGCTGAGTAATATTCCATTGTGTAGATGTACCACAGTTTCTGCATCCATTCTTCAGTTGAGGGGCATCTGGGTTGTTTCCAGCTTCTGGCTATTACAAATAAAGCTACTACAAACATGGTTGAGCAAATGTCCTTTTTGTGTACTTGAGCCTCTTTTGGGTATATGCCTAGGAGTGGTATGGCTGCATCTTGAGGAAGCGCTATTCCTAGTTGTCTGAGAAAGCGCCAGATTGATTTCCAGAGTGGATGTACAAGACACACAGGGTATATACTCACTCATATAAACATACAACATAGAATAAACCCACTAAAATCTGTACATCTAAACATACTAAGCAAAAGAGAGGACCCTAACTAAAACGCTCAATCCCCATCCTGAATGCAAAGAGGATGGACATCAGAAGAAAAAGAAAACAGGAAACAACCTAGGAACCTGCCACAGAGGGCCTCTGAAAGCCTCTGCCATGCAGACTGTCAAAGCAGATGCTGAGCCTGATGGCCAACTGACGGGCAGAGTGAATGGAATTTTATGTAAGAAGTGGGAAATAGTAAGAGCTGGAGAGGACAGGAACTCCACAAGGAGAGCAACAGAAGAAGAAAATTTGAACACAGGGAACTTCCCAGAAACTCATACTCCAACCAAGGACTATTCATGGAGATAACCTAGAACCCTGACAATGCAGCCACTTCTGATGAGAACTGATAGACTAAGATCAGAAAGAAGGAGAGAAGGACCTCCCCAATCAGTAGACATGGGAGGGGCATGCATGCAGAAAGGAGGGGGGAGGGTGGGACTGGGAGGGGAGGAGGGAGGGGCTTATGGGGGGATACAAAATGAATAAAGTGTAATTAATAAAAGTTAATTAAAAATTATAGTTCCACATACACAAAAAAAATAAATAAAAGGAATAAAAATATGGAATAAAAAAAAAATCTCAGCACTTAAGAGGCAGAGGCAGTCAGAGGTCTGTGAGTTCGAGGCCAGCCTGGTCTAAAGAGGAGATCCAGGAGAGTCAGGGCTACACAGAGAAATACTGTCTTGAAAAAGAAAGAAAGAAAGAAAGAAAGAAAGAAAGAAAGAAAGAAAGAAAGAAAGAAAGAAAGAAAGAAAAAAAAACAGGCCTCACCCATCTATCACTCCCCACCCCCATCTCTCTTCTACTTTGAATAATGTGAAAAACCTGAGGGAAGAGACTTATCCTCCCCTTTGTCCCTCCTGTGATAGCGAGGGCTCAGCCACCAGCTCAAAGGGGAAAAAATGCACAGTTAAAAGAGCCAGTCTTCCTTCGCATCTCTGTGGAAGCCGTGCCGGACTCAGAGCAAGGACAGCCATTCACCTGCTCCCACCACTGTAGACAGCACGGCACAGCGAACCTGCCCACTGCCCTGGATAGGCCAGGTTCAGTATCTCTTCTCAGCCACAGTTTATCCTGTGTGACCCAACATTCCTCATTTAGTCATAATTTCTTCTTTTCCATCTCTTTTTCTCTCTTTAATTTTTCTTCTATTAAAACTAAGGCTAATGGAAGTTATACAAGCTTCAATTTCTCTTTCTGGGTAGCTAACTTCTCAAACATGTGAGTGATTAAGCTGCAGCAAATGATTGCATTTGTACATTCAGTAATCA